TTTTTTATTTTTAAAGAATCATTATGGGCTCATGTTTTTAAACACAGTTGATGTGTTTCCATCTCTTGTAATCGTTATGCTTATTGAAGCTCAAATTATCCCATCTTTGGCCAATAGGAACCTCTTCAGGTTGGTTCCTGAACCCTTTTTTGATATAATCCCAGTAGTCTTCTGTTTCTTGCTCTCTAGTTTGATAAGATGTTCCAAGTTCATCTTGTACATTATTTGCCTTACATTTCTTGCCTCCGACCTTTAATCAGAAAATTCTCTAAGAAGCCTTATATTCTGGCTGTGTGTAATGGCTCATGCCTGTAATCCCAGCACTTTGGCACTTTTGGAGGCCGAGGTAAGTGGATCACTTGAGGCCTGGCAAACATGGAGAAACCCCGTCTCTACTAAAAATAGAAAAATTAGCTGGGCAGGGTGGCACAAGCCTGTAATCCCAGCTACTCAGGAGGCTGAGGCAGAAGAATCGCTTGAACCTGGGAGGCGGAGGTTGTAGTAAGCTGAGGTTGTGCTCCAGCAGCCTGGGCGACTAAGTGAGTGAGACTCCACTTAAAAAAAAAAAAACACAAAAAAAAACGAAAAGAAACCTTACATTCTTTTACTGAGAAATGACACTGAAGTTAGAAATGTTCATTACTGATGGGTTGGCCTAGGAATTACACGTGTGTAGATATATATTTAAAGATAAAATATCTTATAAATTCATATTGATAACTTCCAGTTAAAATTGAGGACTCCAGGGATTTTACTAAACCTCTTCTATATTACAAATATATTTCTTTCCTTCCAAATTGAGTATTCTGGTTCTCAAGGGCACAGGGGATCATAGAATTAGAATATCCGATGGTTACTTATTACCTGTATCTGTTGGTAAATATATAGATATCTCAGAATTTCAGTATTACTGCCACTACCACCAGTGTGATGACTTGAAACAAAAAATATTTTTGCTTTTTACATGTGCTCTTTCCATTCTTCCCCCATTAAAAAAAAAAATGGTACTAAATATTGTAGGAGTGTACAGCTGTTACATATTATAACCTCCTTTTAAACCACATATAGTTTTTGCAAGAAACTGTATATTCAATGTTCAGCACTAGTCCTTATACTTGTAGTCCCTAGTCTTTTTTGTTGTTGAAGCTCATTCTGTAGTTAAGATTCTTCAGGAAGTGTTCATGTGAACGTTATTCCTGGAGTTCTTATCATAACTTATTTACGTACTTACAAAACTTACAATTTTCTAAAACCGTATTGTGCTTATTGTTTGTATCTTTATGTTTGAAATTTAGTTTTGCTGGATGTAAAAATCCTTGATTTGTATTTTCTTGCTTGTATGTCTTTCTTAAATATGGTACTCCATTTTCTTCTGGTGTTAAGTGTTGCTATCAGAAAGCCTAATAGTCTAATTTTCTTTTTCTTTAAGTCTGCTAATTTTACTAGTCTATTTCTTGATGTTGGTAGCTTTGGCTGTGTAGTCTCAGGTATGTGTTGTGTGTTTTAAATAATGTAGTTCAAAATCTCTTTTTATTTCAGGAACGTTATCTTGAATGACAGTTTTTGGTGGTATTCCATTGCCTTTGGATTTCTTCTTCATTGTTTCCTATGATTATTTTAGCACCACAGTCCTCTTCTGCAGTTTGATCGCTGTCTGTCTTGTTTCTTAGTTACCCAGAACTGAAGCCTGTGCAGTCCATCAACGCCCATCCTTCCAACTGCATCTGTATCAAGTTTGACCCCATGGGGAAGTACTTTGCCACAGGAAGTGCAGATGCTTTGGTTAGCCTCTGGGATGTGGACGAGTTAGTGTGTGTTCGGTGCTTTTCCAGGTAGGTGACTCTATCAGCACTTTCCTTGTTGGGTATGTTAATTTGATTTCATCATGAGTGACATTGTACCCTCCTCTTACTTGGTAATTCTCATGATCACTCTGTCATAGGCTGGATTGGCCTGTAAGGACTCTCAGTTTCAGCCATGATGGGAAAATGCTGGCGTCAGCATCGGAAGATCATTTTATTGACATCGCTGAAGTGGAGACAGGTAACCTCACGAGAATCTACTGTCTTTCATCTTTGGCAGTCAGGACTTCTGTTATTGTGATCTCATCTCTGCACGTGACCACTTCACCAGCATTATCATGAATGAATTTGTCTCCTTTAGACAAGTGTGTTTATGTTTTGGCTGTGACTGCCAGGGATTGAGGGAGCAAAGAGTTAAGGAATAAACAGGCAGGTCTGAGGAAAGTGATTTAGGAAAATATTTTGATTTTTTTAAACTTTCAATTTTGGCTGGGCGTGGTGCCTCACGCCTGTAATCCCAGCACTTTTGGAGGCTGAGGCAGGTGGATCACGAGGTCAGGAGATCGAGACCATCCTGGCTAACATGGTGAAACCCTGTCTCTACTGAAAATACAAAAAATTAGCTGGGTGTGGTGGCACGTGCCTGTAATCCCAGCTGCTCCAGAGGCTGAGACAGGAGACTTGCTTGAACCTGGGAGGTAGAACGGTTGCAGTGAGCTGAGATCACGCCATTGCACTCCAGTCTGGGTGACAAAGCGAGACCATCTCAAAAAACAAAACAAAACAAAAACAAAAAACTTTTAATTCTTCTGTTATAATAAAATCTTTAAACCACAGAGTAGGAGAAAGAAAAAAGCATCACCTGTGGTCCCACCATCTAAAGACAACCTTTTTAAAATATTGTGGTATATTTCTCTTTATCTTTTGCCTATATATGAACTTGAAAAAACATTTTTTAAAATTTAAGGAATTACCAAGTTTTTGCTTTAAAAACAACAGAAGCTGGAAATAGAAAAATGGGAGGAGAGTATTCATTTTACAAAAGCATTTCCTCAGATTTGTTTTTTAATGTTGCTTGTTTTTGGAAATCTGTGACACTCTTTGTAAAAAGATTGAAACTGTATAGAAAACCTTGAAGAAGAAAGTAAAGAATTTGAAATTCTGCTATGTAAAGAATGCTCCTGTTAGTCATGTTGTGGTGAGCATTGTCCAGCATCCAGCCATGCAGATCCTTCATGTAATTGCATGTCCCTGTGACGCAGTGACACTTTCCTGCTCAGTGACCTGCTCTTGAGTTAACCCACCTGCACTTCGATCCTGCTCTGTCCCCTGCTGGCTTGTGGGCTGTCTGTGCCCAGGGGTTCTCTGTAAAATGAGGTAATGATTGAATCTATCTCATGGGATTAGTAGGTGGATTAAACAAATTAACATAGGTAAGTGCTTAATGGATGTGTCCTTTATTATGAACGTATTGATTGGTTTTTCTCTATTGTTTTCTATAGGGGACAAGCTATGGGAGGTACAGTGTGAGTCTCCGACCTTCACCGTGGCGTGGCACCCCAAAAGGCCTCTGCTGGCATTTGCCTGTGATGACAAAGACGGGAAATATGACAGTAGCCGGGAAGCCGGAACTGTGAAGCTGTTTGGGCTTCCTAATGACTCTTGAGAGGAGGTTGTAGGGAGAGGAGGCCCTGGCAGAGGTCTTCCTTTATGGGGTTAGTTTGGTCTGTTCTCTTGGACTTGGTGGGCACCCTAAATATTTGTAAATTGGTATAAATTGTAAACGTCTCTGGTCAGGCTGCCCACTCCAGTTCTTTTGCTTTTTTTCTGTGTATTAGCTTTTTCCATTCTTTGCCCCGAGCATGAGTTAGCCTTTGCGGATTCTGCAGTGCGGGCAGTGACCCAGCATACCTTGTACTCCGGACCTCCTGTCTTCTCTGCTTTTGGTACATGTTATACTTTGTGGACTGTGATAAAACCTGGACAATACCTAGTTTGGAGGGAGGAGAATGGAAGAGCATGGAAGTTTTTTTAAATAATTAAAAAATATATAATTTTGAGAATTGAGCATTTAATAAACTGACTTTTTTTTTTATTATGGAACCTAAGACAAAATTATTATGTCCTTATGTTGCAGTTTTGTATTTTTTTTTTTAATTTCAGAAAGAGAACTTAAATATTATAATTCTTTCATTTAATGTCACAACCAAGAACCCTCTGAAATGTAAGGACAAAGCTAACTGAACGACTGAACTAAAATTTTGGCTTTGAGCTTCCTGGTGGCAAAGTGAAGAGGAGAGTAAGTCAGTTAGCTTTCTTGTTAAAAAGAAAAACACTTTCTGGTTCCTCATAGAAAGCAAAGCTTTATTAGTTCTTCCCTCTAAAAGAAATGGCTTATGTAAGGGATTGTTACTTAAGAGAGGTATTTTTTCTTGGTGTTAGAGCAGATACTGAGGCATATAGAAATATGTTGGTAGAAAATTTTAGAAAAAGATAAGCAAAAAGAAATATATTCCTAGCACCAAGAGATAATCACTATTAGAATTTTGATGTATGTCCTTCCAGAAGCTTTCCTGTGCCCATATTTATATGTAAAAACATGTCTATTTTCATATGAACCTTGAAGGGTAGACAAACCAAGTGTGGCAAGACAAGCTAGGCAAGGTGCCCACCACCGTGTTGGGGAGTATTACAAACAACAAGTCTTAATAGACATTTGTAGTTACTGGGCATTCGCTACATGTCTGCTACTATCAAGAACCCTTTTATCAGCTGTTAACTCAGTGTTTGCAGCAGCCTTAGGTGGGTGTTGTTATCACCATTCTTCCTACCTCAGGGAGTTTAAGTAACTCTGTTACTCATCTAGTGACTTCAGATCTAGGGGAGCCTTTGCTTGCAATGGGCTACTCTTTCAGCAAGTATTACCATTTCCACTTCACAGAGGTGTAAACCATGGCCATGAGAAGTCCACTGTTGGCCCAGGTTAGTGAGTGATCTGTCGAGCAGGTGCAGTAGTGTGCACAGTAGTGTTTGCAGTAGTGTTTCTCACCTTCCCTGATGAAGGGTCTTTGCAGTTGCAAACCAACTTGCCACCTCATTGGCAGAAGTTGAATGTTGTTAATGTCACTGTGAGTAAATTTTGATGCATTATTTCTTGTTTCTGCAACCATCTGTCATTCCTGTGGTCTCTGCCATGTTTAAATACTCCCTCTAGAACTGGAACCAGATGCTGAGGGTTTGGGCTATGTCTTAATATTTGATTGATTCCCTCTTCCATCTTCATGGATTTTATTCTCCTCTGGGTTTATGTAAATTAGTGATTCACACTACGTGTCACTTAAACAAGATGAAACTTTGCATTTAACTAGTGGGACACTTCTAGCAACAGGAAAACACACATCCATGAGCAAAAGAGTCCTAGTTTGTGTGAGTTTTTGCAGACTGTCAAGGTCGTGATGACACCATCTCTGTGCCTTGGCTTTGAAGTACCGGAGAAGTTCAAAGGTGGGTCCATCCTGAGGAAACGACACATGTCCCAGACCTGCGGCCCCTTTGGTTTGCGTGCATTTTCCAGTTTTGCAGAGCTGGAAGGATGCCATTCAGAGTCACAGCAGGCCACTTAATATGTGGTGTGTCAAGGCATTTTCTGTGGTTGCTGCTCCACACATCCGCAAGTCGAGTGAGCTGGGGGTTGGCTATGGGCTAGATTTTAGTTGGCAGGGAAAGTCTAAGATTTGCTGCACTTGTTCACACACACACTTATTCATCATGGGCCCAAACAGACTGCAATATCAACATACCAGTGACCCATTGTTGTGTTGGCTGGAACGACAAATTAGACTGATAGGTAGTTAAGTTTATAGTATCATCTCTTCTGCTGAGTTCCTGATAGCTGGATGGTGTGAGATCCAGAGTAGGATGAGCCATGCCAAATGGGAAGCTTGTGAGGTGTATGTGTCTTGTTCCCCCCACCTTAACCTGTGTGGGTGGGAGGCTGAGCATCTGGAGTCCTGGGAGAGGGCCCTGAGTGGGATTAGGACGGGCAGGGAGTGCTGGCTAGAGGCAGGTAGATCCAAGGAACAGGCTAAGCCCAGAGCAGGCTCCTAGGGAGTCTTGCCGGGGCAGCAGGCGTGGGGACTGGGGGAGAGAAGAGAGAGCATCTGGTTGGGGTGTGGTGTGATGTGTGGGTGGGCTCAGTTTAGAGTGGCAGGAATGGGGTAGAAATGCCCTTGAGCCCTTGCCTGTTCCTACTCCTTAAAGGTTTTAGTTACAAAAGGGACCACGAAATCTCTCCCTGCTTTGGAAGGAAAAAAGCCTATAGACAGAATTAAAGGGTAAGTCCTGTCTTCAGGAAGAGAGCAGAGGTTGAATATTAAATAGAATGTGTTGCAAACTCAGAGATACGTGGATGTAGGTGAGGAGTTACATTCTTTTCTCTCTCTTGACACTGATGCAGTGGAAATAATGCTGGCTTCATGGGCAGAATCAGATTTGAATCCTGCTCCAGCAGTAATTTATGTGAACCCACTTTGTTCTTTCATTTAGTGGGAGTAGTGAATCCCCTTTTCCTTGGGTGGTTAAGAAGCTTAAACAAGATACAGTGTCTGTAAAGTGTCTAGCACAACACCTGGCATGAGGGAGGTGCTTAATAAGCCACCCCCTTGCTTAAGGTGGAGCAGCTCCTAGTGAGAGCACAGGGGCTGGCTGCAGAGACCTGTCACTGGTCCATCAGCCTTCTCATTTCCAATGCCGCCGCCAAGTGTGCCACGTTATCATTCCAGAGGGAGTGCTGTGAAGGGAGAAGATGGATCCATCACACCCCGGGCGCAGTGGGAGGTTCAGAGGAGAAATATGAGATCCGCTTTCCGTTTGCAATCTGTTTGGGTGCATGATGGATAAGTGTGTGTGTGAACAAGAGGAGCATAAGTCAGACTGCACAGCAACGGGTGAAGGAGGAGGAGAGTAAACTCCTGTTAGCTGAGGCTGCTGGGAAAGGGTTGCATGGGGAGGGGGTGGCCTCAGTGCAGGCCATGGATAGAGTGGAGGTGAAGGCAGGGGCAGGTCAGGGGACAGATGGGGGCAGTGCTGCAGCTTGGAGCCAAGCCAAGGTGGTGGCCGTCAGTATCCTGGATGTGAAGATGGTCGGGGCAGCAGGTGTTGGTGCTGGAGGGAAGAGGGAGGGACGGGTGTCAGGCTCTGGGTGGTTTCAGTTTGGGCTGGCGGGTATTGAGGCTGGGTGAGTAGGTAAGAGATGGAGATACCTGGGTTCAGACCCTTTCCTGCCATTGGGAACAGGGAGACTTTGGCCAAATTACTTCACCTCCATGACATCGCTATCTTTAAGATGTGCCTGATAGTGTGATTCAGGAGGTCAAGAGTTGTAAATGCGTGGCACAGTGGGTATGCAGGAAACAGCAGCTCTTGTTATGTAGGTGCTAATACCATATGTGTGTGCTGTATAAGCTTCCTACCTCAGGAAGGGGCTTTCACTGTCCCCTTGGCTCATCACATTGTGTCTAAAAGGGAGAGATATATAGGCTTGTAAAGCAGATACTGTAATCTTGAAAAGGGGGATTTGGAGAAACTGAATTATCGACACGCTTATTTATTACCCATTGGTAGAGCTAAGGCCATTTAACTTTCAGGAACACTAAACTGGAAACTATTCAGCCAATGATTACAGATTTACTAAGAGTTTACATGTTTGGGATGGTTAGTGATACAGAGCCATGAGTTGTTGAATTTGAAGACATCCAGCAAGAGGCATAAGTCGTTGAATTATAAGACATCCAGCCTCTTAGTCTTTAACCACTTACAAGAAGCAGACCTGCATGTGAAAACATGCCCACCTGACCAGCAGTGTCAGTGATTAGAGTCACCAGGTACAACTTGCCTGCTGTCAGGGACCACTGGGCACCATGGATCTACAAAGGACAAGTTGACAAATTCCCATTTCCTGTTACCTTCCTGATAAGGCTACCAGAATACAGGTCAGGGAATGGTGCAGATGCAGCAGGAATCTCTCCAGTCATCTCAGGATGTCCTTGAGGACCAAAGGAGTCCTGGGCTGGCACAGGTTGATTTGTAGCTGGTCATCAACTATACCCTGAGGGGGGATTACAGTCAGCTTGGAGAATAGCTTCTCTCCTGAAGTATCACGGTTGAGTTCAGGTTGAGGGTGATCAGGCCTGTGATTGTTTATTGAACGTTTACGATGGGCTGCGTCTCCTCCAAAATGGTGGCCAGAGTGCTTTGCTCAATACATAGGAGGCCCTCTTGCCCTCTGTTGCGTTGCCCACAGATTGAGCTTGCCTGGCTAGGACTGTACAAGGGAGAAGGATAAATCAGACCACTGTACCTGGGACCTATTTTACAGGTAGAAACTGGTTCAAGGAGGTTAGGGAAGTTGTCCAGGGTCAAACAGTCTGTCTATGAGTTTGAAGCCCATGCTCCTTTCATCCCAGCTGTTTAAGTTCAGCCTAGTCTAGATGTGGCTTAACAGTAACACAGATGTAAAGGCTTAGCATCTTAGGAGTTTGACCATCAACACGGAATTCATCTGGTTCTTTGTGGGAAAGGTCACACTGCTGATGGGCAGAAGCCAGGGGACAGAGAAGCTTTAGCTTGGAAACCTGGAAACAACACATTAAGGGGAAGAGGGTTCATTTATTCAGCCAGTCACTCAACCTCTATCCTGTGCCAGGCCTGACTGGAGCACTGAGGGTACAGAGGTGAAGGTCCCACAGCCTGGTATGCAGTTGGCGACAATTCCTGTAAGTGGTTTCATAAAAAAGCAAGACAGATCGCACCGCTCCCTTGCCTAGAACACTCCACTGGCTTCTCGCTGCACCTTCCTCAGATCTAATCTCAAGCTGCTTTCTCAGCATTTAGGTCTTAATTTAGAAACCCTCTCTAAGCCCTCAGGTGAGAGTGGTCCTTTCTAACCTGTTTTAGTGTAGCCTCCCTTTGCCCCATTGCTGGATTTCTTCCCACCTACTTTATTCAGTGTACTTACTGGAAGCTACTCATGTTTGCTTCCTTTGTGGCCGTCTCCCCCTGCCAAATGTCCTGGCAATTTTGCCTGACATGTCCATTGCTGTACC